ACGCACGAGTGGAGCGATAGGCTCCAAGAAGGTCCCCAGAATGAGCATCCGAGGGTTCAGGCTTGCTTGTTCGGAGATGGCTCGGGCCGGGCTGGGCGATTCTCGGACGACCCGCCGCGAGAGAGATGCTGCGGAGCGGCGGTCGCGGGCCTCGCGGGAGAGACCGATGTGGAGGGCGGACCTTCTGGGTGGAGCTCCTTGTCGCCCCTCATGCGGGGAAGGTTCAGGAGTCAGGAAGACAGATGTCTGGTTGGGAGGATGGGGTTGGGAGAAATGAGAATGTCATTACACGCAGGCGGTGGAAGGCATCGTGCATCGCGTCCAGATCCTACTGCTCGCATCCTTCGTTCTCCCAACCCCTGCCTCCCAACACGACAACTGATCTCCGCAGCGCGGCCCCCCGATGCCGAAGTTCTGGCCCTCTGCACGGTGCTCGAGGCCCCGCGTGGCCCGCGCATGCATGCCACGGGGCCGTGGCGAACACCTGGGAAGCGCAGGCTGCGGCCAGAGCAGATCGCATGCTTGAGCTGCTCGAATCAGGAGGGAAAGAATCACAGAGACACAATGAATCGTCGACCCCATGAAAGTACTGGGAAAATATGGGAAGTGGGGGGGATAGGAAAATCCAGAAAATATGCGATACTATGGGGAATTCAGGGATTTGTGTCTATTTGTGTGTGTGTGTGTGTGTGTGTGTCTCTGGGCTTCTTCATCGAAGGCCTGGGGTTTCCCCCTCGCTGGGATGAGGAGCGACAGGCGACTGACACCAGGCAAACGCAGCTTCCCGCCACTGGCAATCTCTCTGCGCGGGGGTCTGGGCGGGGGTGGGGGTGGGGTGGGGGGCGTCTTGCGCTGGCGTGGTGGGGAGGGGCCGACGGTCAACGGGACGGGTCCCGGACGCGGATGTCGTCAGCGCGACGGCGTCGTCACAGCGCCGCGGGGTGAGGAGGGCCTCTGCGGGTGCGCCCCGCTCTGCACCCCCCTGCGAACGCTGCCGTGGGTGGGGGGAAGAGCAGCGGCGGCTTTCAGCAGCTGCAGCAGGAAGCGCCCTGGCTCGGGCGTTGTTCACCACTTCCATGGTGTGCGCTACATCGAGGGTAAAAGCTCCTCCTAACCCTACACAGCAAAGTGAAAACGCGGCCTCACTTAGGTCCCAGTCTTCGCATCAGGGAAACATGAGTCTGGGCGGTCAGGCCTGAGACGTCTGCAGAAAAACAGACCCCCTGTCCCGAATGCTCCTGGCCCTCGTAACTTCTAGGCCGCCTCTCAAAGGGTTGGGGGTCTCCTTTATGCCTGATCAAGTTGGATGCGCTGGTGGCGCCTTCGGCATCCAAGAGGGGCCTGGTCAGCGCTCCGGTAAGTCGGGCATGCCCCTCTACAGGAGGGATATTCACAAATGGTCAACACAAATGCTCCGGGGACGATTTTTGGAGTAGGCTTGAGCATGGTTTGAATATCTGTTGGACCCTGTTTTGATCTGTCGCCCGAAATCCGCCGGCAGGAGGGCGTGCCCCACCTGAGCGTTCGGGCCTGTCGTCGGGAGCTTCTCCAGGTGCTGCGCGGGGGGCCAGGACGCTGGCCCGCATCTCGCTGCGGCCCCCGGAGATGCGGCAGCTCCTCCACCCGCGGAGTGGTGGTCAGGCCAGCGCTCGGGCGGCCCCGTGGCAGGCCAGCAATTTCCCCAGGATGATCCAGCAGATGGACAATAGATTCGAACCCTTACATCTTCGAGGGGGATTCTAAATCACCCCCGCGCCCCCGACATCAGTGTTGATCTCAGTAAAGGCGGTGCTTTGGGGTTCGAACATATCTGTCCACTCACGCCCCCCCCGTCGCCACGCCATCAGTATTAATTTCGGGGGGTCTGGGGGGCATCTTGGGCCAGATCGAGAGTTCGAGTATACTGTCCATGTACGGTCCCGAGGAAGTTGCTTGAATGCCACATATAGATCCGCGAACCGGCTCAAAAAAGACCAAGCTTGATTTGGATGTGCGGCCTTTTGGCTGTTGACCTTTTTCGGTCGTGGCAGCGTGCCGTGAGAAGGAGCGGTAGTGAGGGATCCAGCGCCGACCTGCCTGCTTTGCCGAGCCCTACTGTACTAGGGTGTGGCGTGTATGCCGTCGTCGATTCCCAGATGCTGTGGCTCGCGCGAGGGGAGGACCCCCGATTGCTGCGGAGGCCCCCGCGATGCTCCAGAGAGGCCTTCTCCCCGCCGGGGGGCCCACCCGAAGCCATTCGAGCGCCCTCCCGGCAGAGAGGACCTGCAGTTTGCCCCTCGGGCGGTGCGTCCTTGGGGGGGGCGGGGGCGGGGCGGCAAAGGGAGGGGCGAGGAAGGGTGCACCCTATGGGCCCCTTTTGGGCCCCTGGGGAGCCGCATCAGGGCACCCAAGGTGCACGCGGGGTGCGCGGGTCAGAGACAATCGTCGGGTTGGGAGGGCGGGGCTGGGAGAAATGATCAGACAATGGAAGCCCATGCCAAGAAAGACCCTGCTTGCTTCCGTAGCCATTTTAGCTCAATTCGTTTTGGCTCAAGCAATATCGGTGCAAGCTATTTGGGTTTCAGCGTTCAAGCTATTTGGGTTTCAGCGTCCCCAGGTCGTGCTGATAGAGGCTTCCCCCCTGCGCAGAGGAGGACGTGCGACCTTCATTGGCGTGCAGCAATTAGAGATAGCAGGCTGGCGTCTTGCACGACAGATGCGAGGGCGAACGCTGTCTTTCTTTTTGCCGCTGTCATCAAGGCGCTGTTGTTCCCCAAGGCAGTTTGCATGCTCTGCCATCCGAGTTGTGCAGGTAAGTTCTCTTGGCCGGATCCGAAGCAAGTTGGGAGTCGTCAGTTGGGGGTCCAGGAACCGTGCAGGGTACTACAAGGCATTGATTGGAGGTGAGGCGAAGTTTGTTCACCGTCTTGTTGATCAAGCTTTCTTGGGGGAGCCGCCGTCTTCTGCACACTGTTGTCCAGCATGAGGATGGTGATCCAAGTAACAATCATGTAGGCAACCTGTCTTATGTGACCCGTGCTCAGAACGTTCAGCATTCTTACGATACCAAAAAGTACCGACGAACTAGTGCCGAGGCAACCTCGAAACCAGTTGAGTGTCGGGCAGTGGGAAGTCCAGTTTGGATCGGATACCCTTCCGTTTCAGAAGCATCTCGCCATCTCTTTGTCAACGGAGGACACATATTTGCGTGCTGTCATGGTAAGAGACCGCAGGCGCGGGGCTATGAGTTCCGATTCCAGTGCGACACGCCGTCATCATTGTCTGGCGAAGAATGGCGAGCAATTGTGCATCCAAGGTCTGATGCCATTATTCCCAATTGGGCCGTAAGTTCTCATGGCCGCGTCAGGTCATCACGCACAGTTGTGGGCGTGGGCTCTGCACGGCCAGACGGATATCGTGGCGTTTCCATATGTCATAGTGGTTTGCGCTACGATTTGTTGGTGCATGGTCTGGTGGCAAGAGCGTTTTGGGGACCATGCCTGCCTGGTTCGCAGATTAATCACAAAGACGAGGATCCGAACAACAATCATATGAACAATTTGGAGTACGTGACAGCATCCCAAAACGTCCAACACTCTTACAAAACCAATCAAAGCAGGGGCACTGCAGGAGCTGCACTTAAAAAGCCGGTTTTGGGTCGCGCCTTGACGTGCCATGCCTGGACGTGGTTCCCATCTGCGAGTGATGCAGGACGCCAGGTTGGACTCAATGCGGGCAGCATCTGTGCATGCTGCCACGGCCGTCAACGGCGAACCCGTGGTTATGAATTCAAGTTCGCGCAGCCCGCGTGGATTGATGATGTCCAACACTCTTATAAAACCAATCAAAGCAGGGGCACTGCAGGAGCTGCACTTAAAAAGCCGGTTTTGGGTCGCGCCTTGACGTGCCATGCCTGGACGTGGTTCCCATCTGCGAGTGATGCAGGACGCCAGGTTGGACTCAATGCGGGCAGCATCTGTGCATGCTGCCACGGCCGTCAACGGCGAACCCGTGGTTATGAATTCAAGTTCGCGCAGCCCGCGTGGATTGATGTACTTCCCGGGGAGGAGTGGCGAGACGTGGTAGTGGACAATCAAAAACTAGAAGCGTCCTGCTTGCCTACAGGGTGCCCTGGGCCTTCTTTTCTTTGATGGTTCTGCTATGGAAAGCGTGACGTCCCCACACCAAAAATCAAGGGACGCCCTCAGGGTTGGGTTTATTGTGGAAGGTCTCTTGTGGTCGAGCTCCTACTGTATCATCTCTGTGACCGCGTATGTCGAAGGTATTTACTGCACATTCGTACCCTGTGTCTTCCCCCAACCCCTTCCTTCGAAGAAGAAGAAATGGCATAAACATAAACTGTGGGCGCTCCGCGCGGAATTCCTGGATCCGCGCTGGGCCCTCCCCCCTTGCGGCGCCTCCGGCGCCGCCCCTGGCGCGCTCAGCGCGCCAGGGAGGGGGGTCCAGCGCAGATCCAAGAAACCCACGCGGAGCACCAACAGTTCATGTTTATGCTGTGTTTTCTCCGTCTTCTTCCAGTCCTCGCAACACGATGCTCCTTTTGCTCGACGGTTCGCGCCCCCACATATTCATCGCCCCCTCCTTGAGCAGCGCCTTGCATTTGCCCAGCCGTGCATGCTCGAAGAGCGGGCGCTTCTCGGGCGGCATGTGCTGTCGGGGCCAGGGGATCCTGGCCAGGACGACCGGCCTAAGAGTCTCCCGAGGGCTCGCGGGCTGGGCCCCACGAAGCCCAAAAGTCCAGGCCTCCCAGATCGGGTCCGAGTGCGGGCTCCCAGAGAGGCCCACAAATGGCCCAAGATGAGCTCCCCGCCGAGGAACTCTGACGACGCAGGGTTACGAGCCGCACGTGTTCCCACAGTGCGCTTCCCCCCACCCCCTGCGTTGCAGATGCTTATCAGTAGTGGTAGCTGCCATTCGCGGAGCCCTCGGCCCGAACGCCACACAACTGTCCACTACCCTCCCTCCCTCCCTCCCCTCTCTGCTCGCGCGGCCGTTCTGGCCAAGGCCGCGGGGCTGGCTCCCAGCCAACCGCAGGCGCGCCCTGTGTGGCCGCCGCACGGCTGCTGACGCGGCCCCCCAAAAGAAAACGCCTACCTGCCTCCCAGACCTCTGGCGTCTCGAGGCAGACCAGGGCGGAGGAACGAAGTGCAACGAGCAGTGCAACTCTGTTTGTTCGCACCGTTGTGATGGCGCCGACACTGTCGAGAAGGAGGTATGCGCCTCCTGCTGCGCGCGCTCCCCAGCCGCCACCTGCGGCCACCCGGGCCAAACTGCTCGGTTCACATTTTGGGCACTGTCGAGCCTCCGGGAGAGCCTTCCCGTGGCCACGGCTGGAGCGGCCTCGAGATTTTGGCCGCAGCGCCGTCGTCGTCGTCGTCGTCGTCGTCGTCGTCGTCGTCGTCGTCGTCGTCGTCGTCGTCGTCGTCGTCGTCGTCGTCGTCCTCGTCGTCCTCGTCGTCCTCGTCCTCGTCCTCGTCCTCGTCCTCGTCCTCGTCGTCCTCGTTGTCCTCGTCGTCCTCGTCCTCGTCCTCGTCCCGGCCCCTTTGGACCCCAGAGAGGTCAGCAAGACGGAAGCCTGTCCACTGCTTGCGGCCTCCATAAGGGGCCGCCCCCGAGCTCATTGGGGGGCCGTCGAGCGCCACGGCCCGGGCCGCAGAGCAAGCCGCTCCCCGCGTGCAGTGCATCGGCAGCTCCCGGGGGCCACGCATCGATCGGGGGCGGCAAAGCGGGGGGAAAAGACCAGGGGGGGTGGATATCACGGCGTGGGCCATGATACTTCCCCAGATTTCATGGCGCCTCTTCTCATTTCAATGCGTCCCTGGTCCCCAACCTGGGCCGCGCACATGCCGCCGGCCACGATTTGCGCCCCCCCCTCGTTGACGCCCCCCTCTTTGCCGCCCCCAAATCGAGAACGACAAACTGGTGTGCTTGCCGAAGCGTGCGATGGGAGTCGCAACGCGAGCTGATGGGAGTCGCGACGCGAGCTGACGGGTTCGATGTGAGAGGCTCGTTGGAACACCCGGCATCGAAGCATCGAGAAAGGCCAAGAGGCATGGGAGGTCTGGGCTCCCAGACACGAGACAACCAGCTCCCTTTTCGAGCCGCTGGCGCCTGGAGCCCTCGACCCCTCCCCAGGGACGGGCTTCCCAGCCCGAGTCTGCTTGCCTCCAGGGTGCCTTGGATTTCGCGGGTTTCTACGGTTTTACAATGGAAAGCGTGACATTCCCACGCCGAAAATCGATGGACGTCCTGGTGTCTCAGGGTTGGGCTTCTTGTGGAAGGTTTCTTGTGGACTGGCTTCCATTGCAAGGATGGGCAACCTTCCTAAGGGTACCCTCGCATCCTTGCCCCCATATGCCCATCCTTTGCGACTTCCGCTGCCCAGCCTCGTTCGGAAGACGTTCCCATGGGCCTCCTCAAGCCCCTTGCATCCTCATACCGCGCATCCTTACGATACGGGCTGACCCTGACATCAATGACCTCCTCGGCTCGGACGCCGACAACCTCGAGGCGCCACCGGTCCAGCCGCGACCAGACATCTGGTCCGGAGGATCCGGGGCTGGCCAGCCAGGGGCCCTCGTGGCGAGGGCCAGGCGCTGGCCACAGAGAGACCTTCCGTCGCGAGTTGTTCGAGAGGCGCGAGGGGCCCTTCTCAGAGACCTGGGCGTCGCCGTGCTTTCGCACGCAGCGTGGTGTTCGACCCGTCTCGAGCCCAGGGGGCCTCACGTGTCGATCTGGCTCGGAGGTCTTCCGCAGAGAATGATGGGTCGTACAACCCTCCTCGAAATCAAGCGCAAGTCTTTGAGGTTGGCCGACGCGCGAAACGCGGCCCACGGGGTCAGATTTTTGTGGCTGCAGTCGCCGATTTCGGCGCGATCGTTGAACTTTTGGAATCCTGGGGCGCCGCCACGTCGCGGAGAAAACTTGCGTTTGGGTTCGAGGGGGGTCGTAGGGCTCGGGCCGTGCTATGCCATGATGCTGCACGCGTCGCGCGGCGTCGAGTCTCGGGGTCTGGGCTCGGGGGCTCACACGTGGGGCGTCCCCCAAAAAGGGCCTCGCTTTCGAGGATCCAAGGAGTGGTCATCTCTGCCGCCGCGGAAGGGCGGCGGAAGGGCGGCGGAAGGAAAACGAGGCCGCCCTCGCCGGCGGAAGGGCGGCGGAAGGTGGCGGAAGTAAATCGACTACACGTAAGTGACCCTTCGCCGGAGTGACCTTTGGTGCGGGCTCACCGGGGTCCCCCCGACCGCTGAGCGCGATGCGATAGCGGCCGCTTGCGCCCTTGGATTTGGCCACCTTACGCCCCCTCAGTCCGCGCACTAAAGGTCACTCTTGCCCAGGGTCACTCTTGCGCGTCGACGAGTAAAAAATGCGCCCCCAAGAGATGAAAGGGTTTTTGGATTCAGGGTTTCCGAAACTACCCACAGGGACCTCGGCACCTCTCCGGGGGCGCGCTCCGGCCGGGGCTCCGTGGTGTGGCGACGAGATGAGCCCCTCGGAGGCGAAGCGTATAGCCGCCAAAAAAAGCGGTGTGTTTGCCTCGAGTCACTGGAGGCCGTGACCGTTTCCTTGTTCGGTGTTTTGCCGATCGTCGCGGGTCCTCGCACCGCCTCCACCCCCCCCAAGTGGGAGTAGATCTTGACTGTTTTTGGCGCCTGTCTCAAGCAGGTGGAGTCTCCCCCCCCACGGGGCGCCCTGGTGTAAGCGGTCGCATGACTAAGCAGAGGTCTGGAGCCAGCCTCCCCCCCCCTTCCCTCCCCCCTCTTCAGCCCGAGGTCGAGACGCCGAAAAAGAAAACGTTCACGTCTGGGTTTTCCGTTTGCGCCCTGCTAGTATCGGGATCCCGCAAAGGGGGGCGTGTGCCCCAGGGGGGGTGTGCCTCGCCGCCGGCAGCACGATAGTTGCGGATGGGTGGGGATTCGGGGGGCATTTGTTTGCGGCAGTTCGGTGCATGAGCGCATCGAGCTCATGCCCTCCCTCAGGGTCACTCCCCCTCTTGGTGGATCCCGATGTTATGTCGGATGGGTAGCGGCGGCCTTTGGAGAGCGCTCGTGTGCGCGGCCCTCCTGGCGGGCTCTGCTGCGGCCTTCGAGCGGCCAGAGCGGCGGCGCCTGGTCCGGAGCGAGGATCGGGGGGAGCGCCAGCTGCACATCAGCACCAGGCTCTTCACCAAGCCCTTGCTGGGCTTTAAGTCGGGCCTGTCCCTCTACAGGAGGGGTATTCAAAAATAGTCAACACAACTTTTTGCTGTTTTTTATGTCTGGAATATGGTTGAATATTTTCTGACTGTTATTCATTTCTTCGCCCAAGATCCGCCTGTAGGAGGACATGCCCGACCTAACACCAGGCTCCGCCAAGCCCTTGCTAGGCCCATGCTCGGAGCAGAGACGTGCGCACATGTTTTTTCGGGGAAATGTATAAAACTCGAGGCCGCTGGGACTCGTGTTTGCCGACGTTTTTACTCAAACAGCTTGCTGAACGGGGTGCTGTTGTGGTAGAAGCTCACTCCAGCCGAGGGAATTCAAAGCAGAGACGTCCTCACATTACCCTGTGACGTACCCAACTCTTTCTATACATGTGGCGATGATACTCAGGACCACTCAATGCTGACTGGCATTCTGAAGGACCCGCAGTGCGCAAGAAGAGCACCCAGCAGTGATCTCAGAAGAGCGCAGCAAGAAAAGGTACGGCAAATATACAAAATGGAAACACAGGGGCGTTGAAAGAAACGCGTATGACGTACCTCCGAGTGTTCCACGTGGGACGTACCTCCGCTGGGCCTCCCAGGAGCCCACGAAAGTGGCGACAGTTGCACAGCTCGCAAGCCCCCCAGGGGGCAACGAGGTCCCGAGGTGATCCGCGTGGGACCCACCTCCGCTCTGCCTCCCAGGAGCCAGCGAAAGTGGCGACAGTTGCACAGCTCGCAAGCCCCCCAGGGGGCAACGAGGTCCCGAGGTGATCCGCGTGGGACCCACCTCCGCTGGGCCTCCCAGGAGCCCACGAAAGTGGCGACAGTTGCGCAGATCGCAAGCCCCCCAGGGGGCGGCGAGGTCCCAAGGTGACCCGCGTGGGACCCACCTCCGCTGGGCCTCCCAGGAGCCCACGAAAGTGGCGACAGTTGCTCAGATCGCAAGCCCCCCAGGGGGCGGCGAGGTCCCGAGGTGATCCGCGTGGGACCCACCTCCGCTGGGCTTCCCAGGAGCCCACGAAAGTCGCGACAGTTGCACAGATTGCAAGCCCCACAAGGGGTAGCGAGGTCCCGAGGTGATCCGCGTGGGACCCACCTCCGCTGGGCCTCCCAGGAGCCCACGAAAGTGGCGACAGTTGCGCAGATCGCAAGCCCCCAGGGGGGCGAGGTCCCGAGGTGATCCGCGTGGGACCCACCTCCGCTGGGCCTCCCAGGAGCCCACGAAAGTGGCGACAGTTGCGCAGATCGCAAGCCCCCCAGGGGGCGGCGAGGTCCCGAGGTGATCCGCGTGGGACCCACCTCCGCTGGGCTTCCCAGGAGCCAGCGAAAGTCGCGACAGTTGCGCAGATCGCAAGCACCCCAGAGGGCGGCGAGGTCCCGAGGTGATCCGCGTGGGACCCACCTCCGCTGGGCCTCCCAGGAGCCCACGAAAGTGGCAACAGTTGCGCAGATCGCAAGCCCCACAAGGGGTAGCGAGGTCCCGAGGTGATCCGCGTGGGACCCACCTCCGCTGGGCCCCCCAGGAGCCCACGAAAGTGGCGAAAGTTGCGCAGATCGCAAGCCCCCCAGGGGGCGGCGAGGTCCCGAGGTGATCCGCGTGGGACCCACCTCCGCTGGGCCTCCCAGGAGCCCACGAAAGTGGCAACAGTTGCGCAGATCGCAAGCCCCACAAGGGGTAGCGAGGTCCCGAGGTGATCCGCGTGGGACCCACCTCCGCTGGGCCCCCCAGGAGCCCACGAAAGTGGCGAAAGTTGCGCAGATCGCAAGCCCCCCAAGGGGCGGCGAGGTCCCGAGGTGATCCGCGTGGGACCCACCTCCGGTGGGCCCCCCAGGAGCCCACGAAAGTGGCGACAGTTGCACAGATTGCAAGCTCCCCAGGGGGCGGCGAGGTCCCGAGGTGATCCGCGTGGGACCCACCTCCGCTGGGCCTCCTAGGAGCCCACGACAGCGGCGAGAGTTGCGCAGATCGCAAGCCCCCCAGAGGGCGGCGAGGTCCCGAGGTGATCCGCGTGGGACCCGCCTCCGCTGGGCCTCCCAGGAGCCCACGAAAGTGGCAACAGTTGCGCAGATCGCAAGCCCCACAAGGGGTAGCGAGGTCCCGAGGTGATCCGCGTGGGACCCACCTCCGCTGGGCCTCCCAGGAGCCCACGAAAGTGGCGACAGTTGCGCAGATCGCAGGCCCCCCAGGGGGCGGCGAGGTCCCGAGGTGATCCGCGTGGGACCCACCTCCGCTGGGCCTCCCAGGAGCCCACGACAGTGGCGACAGTTGCGCAGATCGCAAGCCCCAGGGGTAGCGAGGTCCCGAGGTGATCCGCGTGGGACCCACCTCCGCTGGGCCTCCCAGGAGCCAGCGAAAGTGGCGACAGTCGCGCAGATTGCAAGCCCCCCAGGGGGCGGCGAGGTCCCGAGGTGATCCGCGTGGGACCCACCTCCGCTGGGCCTCCCAGGAGCCCACGAAAGTGGCGACAGTTGCGCAGATCGCAGACGGCACGAGAGAAGAGGAGAAGGGAACACAGGAGACAGGAGAAAAGGAGGAGGGGAGGAGAGGGGGGGAGGAGCCGACGGGGCGACCACACTGCTCTATTCAAAACGAGTACCCAACCATAGAGGGTTGGGAAAACAATTGATGGTCCGGGCCGTTTCGCCTGAGACATCCTCGCAATTCTTGTTTCTGAGTTGTCCGGGTGAGACATAACTCTGGGTTCCCAGATGCCGCGCAAGAGGTGGTCTGGCCTGTTTCGCCTGAGACATCTTCGAAACTCTGAGCTCCCAGATGCAGCGCGAGAGGTGGTCCGGCCCGTTTCGCTTGAGACATCCTCCAAACTTTGAGCTCCCAGATGCCGCGCGAGAGGTGGTCTGGCCGGTATCGCCTGAGACATCCTCCAAACTCTGAGCTCTGAGATGCCGTGCGCGAGGTGGTCCGGTGCGTTTCGCCTGAGACATCCTCGCAACTCAGAATTCTGAGATGCCGCGCAAGAGGTGGTCCAGCCCATTTCGCTTAAGACATCCTCGAAACTCTGGGCTCCGAGATGCCGCGCAAGAGGTGGTCTTTCCCGTTTCGCCTGAGACATCCTCCAAAGTCTGAGCCTTGATATGCCGTGTGCGAGGTGGTCCCGCCTGTTTTGCTTGAGACATCCTCGCAACTCTGCGCTCTCTGATGCCGCGCGAGAGGTGGTCCGGCCCGTTTCGCTTGAGACATCCTCCAAACTCTGAGCCCCGAGATGCCGCCCAAGAAGTGGTCCGGCCCGTTTCACTTGAGACATCCTCACACTTTTGCATTCACAGATGCCGCGCGAGAGGTGGTCCGGCCCGTTTCGTCTGAGACGTCCTCGAAACGCTGACCTCGGAGATGCCGCGCGCGACGTTGTCCAGCCTGTTTCGATCGCCTGAGACATCCTCGCAACTCTGAGCTCTGAGATGCCCTGCGCGAGGTGGTCCGGCCTGTCTCGCCTGAGACATCCTCGCAACTCTGAGCTCTGAGATGCCGTGCGTAAGGTGGTCCGGACCGTTTCGCACAAGACATTCTCGCAATTCTGAGCTCCCAGATGCCGCGCAAGAGGTGGTCCAGCCTGAGGGCCCAGAAGACCACATGTTACATATCCCCCCTGGGAGCCCCAGGAAGCCCCAGAGAGCTTCAGGAGGCCGTACGACGCCCATGTCAGGCTCCAGGGGTCCCCAGGAGATTCCCAGGAGGCTCCCAAGAGGCCCCCTATCAGAACGTGTCAAGTTAATACACATCCAGTGTCGATTCGTTGATTTTTCCTGCTCTTGTGGCCCCCCTCCCTGGGAGCCCCAAGATGTTTCAGGAAGCCCCAGGCGGGGTCCAGGAGGCCACAGTAGGCCCAGGAGGAAGCCCCAGGAGGTCCCCAGGAGGCCCCAGGAGGCCCCAGGAGGCCCCAGGAGGCCCCCGCAATTCGGAGCTCTGAGACGCCGCCCTCGAGGTGGTCCGGCCCGTTTCGCCTGAGACTTCCTCGCAGCACGTTTCGCCTGAGGCATCGTCGCAACTCTGGGGTCCGAGATGCCGCGCGCGAGGTGGTCCAGCCCGTTACGCTGGAGACACCCTCGCAACTCTGGACTTCGAGATGCCATTCGGGATGGAGAGGAGGTGGAGGAGGAGGAGGATGATGATGTGGATGAGGGAGCAGGCAGGAGGAGGGGGAGCAGGAGGAGCAGGAGGAGGAGGAGGAGGGAGAAGAAAGGGAGTTGCAGGAGAGGACCTAACAGTAAGCGAGTGTGACGTGGACTTGTCAGAACGTGTGCGAGAGGTTGTCCGGCCCGTTTCGTTTGAGATATCCTTCCAATACTGGGCTCCAAGATGTCGCTCGCGAGGTGGTCTGACCCGTTTCGCTTGGGCCATCCTCACAATGCGAAGCTCGAAGATGTTGTGCGCGAGATGGTCTGGCCCGTTCTGCCTGAAACGTTTCGTAGCACAGGGGCTCCAATCACAATCTCTCTCATTCCTTCTCCCGCATCCCTCTTCCCACTTCCCGCCTGGCTCCTCCTCTTCCCTCCTCCCTCCTCCCGCCTCCCGCCTCCCGCTGCTGCGCCTCTGGCTCCGCCTCCCCGTCCCCGCCGTCGTTGTTTCTGCCGCCTCAGCATCCGTCAGGCGCGCCCTGCCCTCCGCCCTCCCCAAACATCCGACGTCACGATTTTTCTTTTGAGACTTGCGCCCGCGGAGGAGGATAAGGGCCAGAGAAGAGCACGATGACGAAGACGAAGAAGGCGACGACGACGATGACCACGACAATGACGAAGACGAGGACGACGACGGCGACGACGACGGCGACGCGAAGGTCTTTGCACAGATCTTTCGCTCCGGGAGCGTGTTGGAGGCCTCTTGGGGCCATCGCGGGGCCATCTTGGGGCCATGCTGGAGGCCGCCTTGGAGCGGCCTTATATCCTCTTCGAGGCATGCTGGACTTGATACGGAACCATTTCAGACTATCTGGAACCAATCTGGAAGCTATCTTGGGCTCTCGGGGTCTCTTGGAGCCATCTTGACAATCCAACGACCCGCGGGGGAACCGCTGCACACCCATAGGGAGCGGGTAGAGGGAGAGAGGAACCTCTCCCCGAAGGGGAAGAAGGGGGTTAGAAGAAGGAGTTCGCCAAGCAACTCACGCCGCAAAGAGCTGGTGGCATTCGCAGATGCACAGCAGCCTGGCTGGTATGTGGTCCAGGGTTCAACTCGCACGGATCTTTATTTTTGGAAGCCGAGCCCACGATAACCCCCAAGACCTTCCACCGAATTTCCTGATGCCCCCTTGCGCATTCGAGAAACATTTCTATATGTTTTTACCGCTTGTCGGCGGTTGATCCGCCTCCCCCCTTCCAGTTGGCATGGAGGTCACCGTCGCTGCAACAGTATTGAGCCATCGATGCGGCGGTCTTCAACGAGGCTTCCGACCAATACGTTCCATCCAGGGCAACTGGGGCGACAAGGGGGAATTATCACAACATGCCCCCCGGCTTCCGCGCCCTCCCCCGCTTCCTCTTACAGTTGCTTCCGAGTTCACAGCATGGCGGTGGAGCCTCTGACAGTGCCGACCCGACCGCTTACTCGTCGACCAGGTGCGAGAGAACACGTCACCCTCAAGCGTTAGCATCCTGGTAGGCGTGTGTCACGCAAGGCTTCGTGTAAACATCTCTTGTGCAAACATCATGTTATCATGTTCTAACATGCCGTGCCAGCCCGCAGTGGACGGGCACGCAATCGACCTTGGAAACCGCACTGGGTTTAAAAACCCTGTTTGGGGATACTGCACTTCGGCTACAATTTTTTGACGAGCGCGTCCTGGATTTTGGCGGTCCAGTTTTCGTGGGATGTTTTCAGCGGGAGTTCGCTTCAATTTTCATGATGGCCCCGTCAGGCCAATTCTAGTCCCCTGACCCCGAGTCTTAACGTCTCCTCGAATATTCAGGTCCGAGCATCTAAGAACAAAACACGGTATACACATATACTTTCGACGGTCCGCGCTGATCTCTTGGATCCGCGCTGGGCCCCCCCGGCACCGCCCCTGGCGCGCTCTGCGGATCCACGCAATCCGCGCGGAGCGTCGACAATTTATGTGTATGCCGTTCTTTGTTCATCTAGAGCAGGGGTTTGGCCTAAAGCAATGTGTTGGTCTACAGTTGGTGTCCTCCTTGAGGAGGTTCCGTATCCATACCACACCGTGGTGGAGAACGCCGCCCAGGTCAGCTTCTATGCAGATGTCCGACCAGGCCGTGACCAAGGCTCCAGGCCACATGAATAAAACCGAAACAGACGGGCTCGGAGGATTGTGCCGCATCGCCGATACATCAACAATGCGACGCGATCCTCAGCACGATTTTCCTCCATTCCAACGTCGCCGCTGCGTCGCAGATGCGTCGTCGATGCCGCGCTATCCTTCGACCTCGTCTGATCTGACCGCAATTGGGCGGCCTCCAATTAGGTGACGATGGTCGACATGGCCTTCCCCGCAGTGCACCAAGGCGCACGCACCAAAATGTTGCGGCGTCGATTTCCGCCGATGGGCATATAGTTATGGACTCACAGAAGCCCCTGCCACCTGAGCGACGACCTGGCACCTCTGTCTTGGAGGCCGCTGTTACCCCTGATGGGCATCTGCAGTTGGGCGCGGCGCCAGGCACTGCCATCGCTTCAGTGCTTGGGACCACCGCCACCTCGTATACAGTAGCACCTGGCGTGGCTGCGCCTGCTGCGAGTGCAGTGGCACCCATATCCATGTTTGCTGGTCTGGCGGAACTTCCCGAAGCGGCAGAAACCGCAGGTAACAAGGATGCGGGGACGGCTTCAGCAGCGAAGGCGGCGACGGTACAGGTTCCTACGACGGCAGTGTTCGCTGCGTCTGGCGCCGTGGTTCGCGAGCCAGCAGCCGTGAGGACGGCGCAGCCTGGACCTACAGACACTGCGCCCGCGGCGGCCGTTGCGGCTCTTGCCGCTCCACCATCGACGGCCACCGTGGTGGCTCCAGCGCCAGCCACTGCGTCAGCGGCAGCCGTTGCACCTCCTGCCGCGCTGGCTTCACCAGCGGCGGCCACCGTCGTGGCGCCGCCTCCAGCCAACGCGCCGGCGGCAGCCGTTGCAGCCCCAGCTGTGGTAGTGTCACCAGCGGCGGGCACCGCAATGGCGCCAGACTCGGCCGCCGCGCAAGTGGCAGCCGTAACGGCCCCAGCTGCAGTGGCTTCACCATCGGCGGCTACCATCATGGCGCCAGCGACGGCCACCGCGCCGATGGCAGCCGTTGCGGCCCCCGCCGCAGTGGCGTCACCAGCGGCGGCCACCGCCGTAGCGCCAGCTTCGGCCACCGTGCCAGCGGCAGCCGTTGCGGCCCCTGCCGCAGTGGCGTCACCAGCCGCGGGCACCATCATGGCGCCATCGACGGCCCCCGCACCGACGGCAGCCGTTGCGGCCCCAGCTGCGGTGGTGTCACCAGCGGCGGGCACCATCATGGCGCCAGCGACGGCCCCCGCGCCGACGGCAGCCGTTGCGGCCCCAGCTGCGGTGGTGTCACCAGCGGCGGGCACCATCATGGCGCCAGCGACGGCCCCCGCGCCGACGGCAGCCGCTGCGGCCCCAGCTGCGGTGGTGTCACCAGCGGCGGGCACCATCATGGCGCCATCGACGGCCCCCGCGCCGACGGCAGCCGTTGCGGCCCCAGCTGCGGTGGTGTCACCAGCGGCGGGCACCATCATGGCGCCAGCGACGGCCCCCGCGCCGACGGCAGCCGTTGCAGCTCCCGCCGCAGTGGCATCACCAGCGGCGGCCACCGCCGTGGTGCCAGCCTCGGCCACAGTGCCCGTGGCAGCCGTAGCGGCCCCCGCCGCAGTGGCATCACCAGCGGCGGCTACCATCATGGCGCCAGTGCCGGTCACCACTCAGGCTGCAGGCAGGGCAGCAGTCCCTGCCACAGTTGCGGCTACGTTTGTGGCACCGGCCTCGGCCACCCTGCCGGCGGCAGCCGTTGCGGCCCCAGCCACAGTGGCGTTACCAGCGGCGGCCACCGTCGTGGCGCCGGCGCCTTCCACTGTGCCGGCGGCCGCTGCGCCTGCGCCTGTGACGAAACCGGCCGCCAGCGTTGCTGCGACGGACGCTGCAGTTGGCGCCAGCGCCATGGGCACGAACGCTACCAGCACCAACGCCGCTTCAGCCATTACCGCGGGCGCCAACTCCACTGGAACCAGCACCAGCGCCACAGATGCAAACGCCACGTCAGCACCCGTCATTGCTACTAACAGCACGGCGGCGATTGGATCGACCGCAAATGGCACGACGCCGGTTGGGACGGCTGCTAATGGCACTGTGACGGCCACAGGCGCCGCCACCAGCATCGCGGCGACTGGGATGACGGCAAATAGCACGGCTGCCAATGGCACAGCGGCAGCCGCAGGTGTTGCCAATGGCACCTCGGCGAGTGGAACGACAACGACTGGTTGGATGGCACGGCACGGCGTCTTCGGGATTGTTGGATGGTTGTTTGGCGGCGATGCCAACGGCACGACGAACGCCTCTGCCGCAGCCAGTAGCAGCCCTGCCGCAGCCAGCAGCAGCCCAGACCCCAGCCCCTCGAGCACGAGCAGCCCCAGGGACCCCCAGGCGGCCAAGGCAGGAACCGGCGCTGGTGCCGTGGCCCTCGCGGGGCTGCTCTTTGGCGTCCTCGCCATCGCCGCGGCCACCGCCCGGCTCTCCGCCCAGGGCAGCCCCCCGCAGGGCTCCGCCTCGCGCCCGTCCACCCCGGGCCCGGCGCCCGACCCGCCGACGGTGACCGTCACCGGGCCGACGGGCCTCCGGGCCTCGGAGGCTGCTCAGCGGCTCGCCCCCCAGGCCAGGAGGACCTACCGCAGCTCCGTGCTCGACGTGTCTCCGCTGCGGAGTTCCGGGGGCTCCTCGGACGACGACGACGACGACGACGGCGGGGCGCCGCGGAGGATCCCCTCCGGCTGCACGCTGCCGCCCGCCTCCGGCCGCCCGAGCCTCCAGGCAGCCGCCGCGGCGGCCGAGGGTGCCGGCGCCGCGCGGCCCAGCGACCGCCGCTCGAGGCTGGCGGGCCTGCAGGCAGGCAGCGAGTCCGCGGGCAGCCAGGGGCTGCAGCCCGCCGCGGAGGGCCCGGAGGCGCCGCCTTCCCCGGCAGCCCGCGGGTCTTACGGCAGCCGCCGCGCCGGGAGCCAGAGGCTGCAGCCGCCCGCGGAGGGCGCGGGGGCTGCGCAGGCCGCCTCGGCGCGCGGGTCGTACCGCGATCGCCGCTCGAGGCCGCAGCCGTAGTTTGGCCGCTCTTCACGGGGCGCGCTCCACTACTCTTAAGTCGGGCCTGTCCCTCTACAGGGGGAATATTCAAAAATAGTAAAAAAACAGTCCTGGGAGTATTTGTTGAGTATTTGTGGGCATCTTTTGAACATTTTTGAGTATTTTTTATTTTTCGTCCAAAATCCCCCTGTAGGAGGACAGGCCCGACTTAACACTACTCGCAAAATGCCTAGGCGCAAACGTCCGAAAACACATAGATTGTCTTTCTCTACGTAGGGTATCGTAAATGCCCCGCGGCGGTTCCAGGTCATCTGCGAGCAGTTACTCTGCGAGTCGTGGAACGCGGTTGTCGAGTTTGGCCGCGGCCGCAGCTTCACCGTGCGCAGCGTGGCCGCAGCCAGCGCCACGGTGCGCGCTGGAGCGCGCTGTCAGGGGGGAGGCATGCCGCTCACGTGCGAAGGCACGGCTCCAGCCAAGAAAGAGCCGCCACTCCTTGCTGGAGGGTCTGCTTCCCAGGCCTGCGAGCTCGATCTCAGCGCCTTCCCTCAGCGAATCGGGCGCACCCGCCCGCCAGGGCCCTCCTCAATCCAGGAGGGGGAGGGGAGAGAGGAACGGGAATAGAGAAGGCAGGAGGTCGCGTGGGGAGAGGATAAGGGATGTTGAGGGTGATCCCGCTGCTGCCCCTCCCCTCCCTCCCGCGCGCCTCCCACTTCCTCCCGCCGACTCCTCCGTTCCCGTCCCCTCCTCGTAGTAGGAGAAGAAGGGGATGGGGTGGAGGAGAAGGAAAAAGAGGAGGAGGACGAGGAGGAGGACGAGTGGGAGGAGGAGCAGGAATTGAGGGAAGAGGATGAGCAGGAGGAGGAGGAGAAAATGGAGGAGGAGGAGAAGAAGGAGGAGGAGGAGGAAGAGAACGAGGAGGAGGAGGAGGAGGAGGAGGAGGAGGAGGAGGAGGAGGAGGAGAGGAGGAGATGGAGATGGAGATGGAGATGGAGATGGAGATGGAGATGGAGATGGAGATGGAGATGGAGATGGAGATGGAGATGGAGGAGGAGATGGAGGAGGAGGAGGAGGAGGAGGAGGAGGAGGAGGAGGAGGAGGAGGAGGAGGAGGAGGAGGAGCTGGAGCGGTGGGAGGGAGGAGAGATGACGACGAGACGACGAGTATAACGAGGGAGGAGGATACGCAGGACCAGCGCGTCACCGAGGAAGGTCAATCTAGTGTCTTGCATGGGTCCCGCCTGTGAGTATTAGACCACCCATGCTGCTCGACAGACAAGCGGGATCGCACCTGGAAAGGCGAGCGGCCCACCGAGAAGGAGCCCAGTGGAGAGCGAGAGCGCTCAGGCTGCGCCCGCCGCCACCAGAAACTCCAGAAATAATGTCCGCCGACTCCCGAGGGCAGCCCAACAGGGTATTATCAGGAGAGCCCCAGGGCCCCTGGAGCACGAGACGCACTACGCTGTGCTAATTTTCGGTTCGGCGGGCCCCTTGGGTTCCTTTTGGGGCCCCCTAGCGGCCACGAGGGCGCCCCGGGAGGTCCCGGCTTCCTCCCGTTGGGAGGCGGGGAACGGGAGGAAACTGCTCGTCCTGGGACCAATCCTGGAGCACGAGACGCACCACGTTGTGCCGCTCCTCGGCGGGCCTCCTGGGTGCTGTTGTGGGCCCCCCCGAGCGGCCACGCGGACGCCCTTCGGGAGGTCCTGCCCCCCCCCCCCCCTCCGTGGGGCGGGGGGAACGGGAGGAAACTGCTTGTCCCAGGTCCCACGGCCAATGCAGTCTTCCCTGCCGCAAAAAGGAAATCAATCGGATTTCTGTTCGTCTGGGACTTTAGCTTCGCCTTTGGAGTGGTCAGGGTGTTTCCTGTCGAACACTCTAGGCCTCCCAAATGAGGTCCGAGCAGATGGGGTCGGAGGATCGCGCCGCATCGCTGATGCATCGGCGATGAGGCCCGATGTGGGGCCCGATTTGCTTCACGCCGACGTCGCCAATGCGCCAATGCGTCGCCGACGTCGGCGATGCATCGGCGATCAGGCGAGATCCCCCGTCTACTCGGACCCCATTTGGGAGGCCTCTAATCGAAAACACGTTTCCAATTCGGCTCGGAGTGTGGTGACGCGAAAGGCGCTGGGCAGCGGCGGCTGAGGTCAACCGCTCGCTGACCTTGGAACATGACACCACACATGCAGCAACTAAAGATGAGGGGGTCCTCATCATGACTGGCTATACGTGTACGCGTTGTGCTGTCTGGGGTCTTCACCGATTGCGCGGAAGCTGCGTTGCATCAAGGTCAGGCTGCTTGCTGAGGCGGGAACTGGTACTTGCACCTGGCATGCGGCACGTCCCGAACATGGAGCACCACTTCCAACGATGGTTCGGTGCATGTCCTGGGATGGGTTGCTGTGGAGCCTGGGTGACCGAGGATGCAAGTTGCAGAATGCCTTCAACGGTAGCCCCAGCCGCGACGAGAGCGGGGGGGGGAGGAGGAAGGAGATGGTGGACAGGCTGGGGGTTCCCTGCAAGGGTATTGGCTGACTCTGCAGCCGACAGGCACTGTGTTGGTGAAGCGGCCGTCGGCACACCAGAGCCTCCCTGACCCTGTCCCTGCCCAGGCGGCGCAGAAAGACGCCAGCTGCAGGGCATACGACCGCGGACCAAGCGCTTCAGCGCAAGTTGCCATCCTTGCCTGGAGGCCTGGCGAACATACCCCGCTCAATTCCCATTAGTTGGGCAGCAGTCGGTATAGTCAGACTCAGGACTTCAGCATTGGCAAGAAGGTCGACCTATTCATTGCCTTTTTGTCGCGCAAGTTCGTCGGAACTGGCGACCAAAGCAGAAGTACATTAGTGTACTTTGACCTTTTGCACGCGCTTGGATGAAGACCAGGCTGCCCCCCCCCAGAATGCGGGGAAGAAGGCCAACGTAAAAGCCTGACCTACGATACACTTAAACACGAGCCTTGATTTCAAGACCTAAGAACCAAGTACTGGCAATCAACCCAAGCGTCATTTGCATGCGGGCAGTGGCTGGCAGCAGGAGGAGGTCATGGCACGATGAGGGGGCATGCAGAGGAAGAGTTGAAGGATGATGAGGCGGAGGAAGGAGGCGGAGGCAGAGGAGTAGGAGTTGGAGGAGGAGGAGGAGGAGGAGGAGGAGGAGGAAGAGGAGGAGGAGGAGGAGGAGGAGTTGGAGGAGGAGATGGAGGACGAGGACTTCGAGGACGAATCAGTTGACGATGAGGAGGACCCAGACCCCCAACGACTGGACTTTTTGGAGCCGCCCTCGCAATGATTTTCGGGAACAGCATAAGTACGACCACGGCAGCAGAGCTGACTGGCCACACGAGGCAGACTGCGGCCTCGGTAATGAGCTGGAGGCTAAGCTTGAGCCCGTGTCACGCCAATGCTTGAACGGTGCAGAATTTGGGCTGCTCAGGTGTCCGATCATGGGCCCCTTGTTACACCGCAACTGCTGAGCTCTCGCGCAGAAGCTCTCCGCCCCAAGATGCCCCCAACAGGCCCCAAGAGGCCCCCAGGAAGCCCCCAAGAGGCCTCAAGAGGCCCCCAAGAGACCCCAATAGGCCCCCAAGAAGCCCAAAAGAGGCTCCAAGAGGCCCCGAGACGGCACCCAAAAGGCTTCACAATTCTTTCTAAGAGCGGCCCCCGAAGACATGCCAAGAAGGTCCCATGACGACTTCAAGAAACAGTTCAGGATGCTCCGAGGAGGCCCCAAGAGGCCCCCAAGAGAGCCCAAGAGGCCCCCAAGCTGCCTCAAGCAGCACCCAGGAGGCCGGAAAGAGGCCCCCAAGAACCCAGCGGTCCAGGCGGGGGCCGAACGAACATTTCCAGCCCTGGGCTCCCGGAAGCCCAACAGGAACCCCCACGTAACTCTCCATGCCAGTGGCAGGGCACCTGGGCTCCTCCAAGACGCGCCAGGAGGGGCCCAAAAACCACCGCGATGACCCAAGATGGATCCGAACCGTTGGAGAACTGCTCCAAGGCGCCCAAAATGGCCCCAAGACGTGCCAAGATATTGCCCAAGACGCACCGAGAGGCCTCCAAGAGCACTCCCAAGAGCGCACCGACACGCCAATCTTGCATATTCCCGCAGGAAGCATGCGTTGTTAGCATATACGGCTTTTCTGCCTTCACGACGTTAAAGACGGCCCATGGAGGCCCCAAGACCGCCCCAGGACAGCCCAAGAGGCCCCCAAGAGCGCTCCAAGGCAGCCTCCGTTGCCGTTTTGGCTCAGCACTTCCAATTTGATTGCACATCCTTGGCACATACATACGCTCTTCGCAGTGACGCGTCGGCCAGGATGCGCTTTCCGGTCGCTCTGCTGCTTCTGTTCCGCGGCTGCTCTGCTGCCTCGTGGGGGTTCCTGCGCTCGGGAGTGCAAGCGCCGCCGCAGAAGAAGGACCCGGCGCCCGCCGTCAGCAACAGAGCGGCGCCTGGTCAGCCGGCCAGGACGCGCAGCAGTGCTGTGTGGACGCCAAAGACGCAGGAGCTGTCCCCGCTCACAGATCAACATGTCAGGAAGCGCGAAGGGCTTCAACAGTAAGCGCATGGCAATTATTTTCTGGAAGGCTCCTTTCCGAGCAAGCAGGATCAGAAATTCAAAAGTCGGCTACAAAGATTGCAGCGCTGGCGCTGCAAAGGCTCAGCTGGCGCTGTCCCGAAGCCACGTCGAGCACCTCTTGAAGCCGCTGGAGGCCGCGGGCTTCGCGGTCGACGTGTTGCTGCTCGCGCAGAGCTGCGGAAACTCAACGGCTGCTGTGAAAATGCACGAGGACCTTGTCAACGTCTATAACAGCGGCTCCGGGAAGAATAAGAAGCGCGTGGTGGAGGTTTTATTCAATCACTTCGCTCATTCCGCCGGCCCATATTGCACGATCGCTAGTGCTTCGCCGCGGGCTCGGGGCCAGTGTGGCGCCGCCGAGGAGGAGGAGGAGGATGAGGATGGGGAAGGGAAGGGGGAGGAGGAGAGGATGAGCAGGAGAGGAGGAGGATGACGATAAGGAGGAGGAGGAGGAGGAGGAGGAGGAGGAGGAGGAGGAGGAAACCTCTCGTTGGCATCTTGCGTTGCTCTTGGGGCCAAACAGATGCTTTTTTAGGAGGCCTCTTGGGGTCTTTTGAGACGCCGTTCGGGGTCGCCTGGAAGGCATTCTTGAAGCCTTCCGGGGCCTCTTGGGACCTCTTTTAGGCTTCCTGGAGGCCTCCTGGGGCCTCTTGGCGGCCTCTCGGGGGCCTCTCCGTAGCCATTTTGGCTCAAGGCAATGAACCGCCCCGACGACCGCGAGTCTTTCGGGGCGACTTCTGAGCGCGAGGGAGGTTCCGCTTTGAGGCCACCTTCCTTTCCAACAAGTGTGAGCTGCCACTGCAGCACCCTCCTGTGCCCTCGTGGGTTCGTATCGGCGCGTGGGGCGCACCGATGGCGGGCGGCGAGCATGGCTAGGTGGTCAAGGGCGGTGGCAAGAAGAAGAAACAGTGGGACACGAGGCCCTCCACACAGTGGGGGGGAGGACACAGTGGTGCTACGCCATCTGTGGGAGACCTACCCTGGACATGCGGGGCCTGCGGCACGGGAAGCAACTGGCCAACGCGCACGTGCTGCCGTGCGTGCGGACGGCTGTGGACACGCAAAGGAGGCAAGGGCAAGGGCCAGATGTAGAACAAGGGCTACACCAAGGAGACGTGTACGACCCGTCCGCCCTGGGCCCAGGACAGAGAGAAAGAGGGATTGGGCAAACCCACGACGGAGCTCGAGGTGCTGCTGGGGAAACGCAAGTGCCTCCAGGAGTTCCCTGTTGTCGAGGGTGAAGACCCACCGTCGTACGTCACCGAGGGGATTGCGCAGCAGGACAGGGACATCGCGAAGGCTCGCAACATCAGGGATCAGGCGAAGCCACTCGCCACCCAGATGCGGGAGGCTCAGGCTCTCTCGGCCAAGCGAGCGCATCAGGATGAGGTGCTCGTACGACAGGCCGAGAAGCTGCAGAAGGAGCTGCTCGCGGCGCAGAAGGCAGTGCAGGAGGCGCGCCAGGCGAAGGCCGAAGCCAAGGCCAACGAGCTCGTTTTGCAGGCCAAGATCGCGGCGCAGCAGCCCGCGGCCCCAGCGTCCGACCTTGCGCGTTCAGCTCGAGGCAATGGTCACCAAGGCGGGTGGCACCCCCAAGGACATGGGCTTCGGCGACGTCTGGGCCAAGGTCGAGACCCTCATCACCGCGGCCGCTGCTGAGGGTGATGCTGTTGCTGAGCCTCCTGAGCGACCTGCTGGGGGCAGTGGGGGCAAAGCCCATGAAGGCAGTGGTGGAGGTTTCGTCGACGACGTGGACATGCCTGATGGAGGCACCGAGGAGGAGAAGCAGTGGGTCAATGGAGAGGCCCCTGCCCCTGACCCCGTGCAGCAGCCTGAGCGGTACAAGCGTTTCCAGGAAGTGCTGTCGGGGCGCACGCGTCCCAGGTGGCGAAGAAGATGCGGATGGGGTGGCAGTCTCCTGTACTTTGTGCTCAACGGCGCCGACCTTGGGTATGGCGTCTCCCCGTGGCGTGCAGCCGTGGTCGGTCATCTACGGCGGCAGCAGCGGGTCCCTGGCTGGGCGGGCAGTCAGTGGACCTCCGAGGGGTGGACCCCGCTGTCCGGGGGCAGCGAGAGGGAGTGTGACGCCGAGGTGAATACCACGGGCGTTGGCTGGGCAGGGTACGCGCGGATCCTACAGGACCCGGCGGAGAGGCACCTGCTGATCCCACAGCCGATCGAGGTCGGTAGGAGGAAGGACATCACCCTGTGGACCTTCAACGGCTCCAGCTGGGGTGCGATTAAAGAGAAGTTGCTCGAGGAGAAGGGCGACGACGGTGGGGGGCGACGGGCGCGGCGCGTCTACGTCTTCCAGGAACATCGGCTGTTGGACGAGGCGTGGGCTGGAGTCACTGGCAGCATGAAGGCGTACGGATAGCAGATCGGAGGTACCACAGCCGTTCCCACAATCGGGCGTGAAGGCGAACCAAGTACCTCGGCGGGCGTAGGCTTCGCAGTGCCGAAGGACATGGGCATGGCTTATCCCTTTGGCCAAGCCAAGGGGGACGCCTCGCCCAAGGGCTCGGCTGGACGTGCTGCGATTGCCTGGATAGCAGCGGGGCGGGGGGGCATGCTGGTCGCGACGGTCTACCTGTGGACGGCGGAGGGCTGGTCCAACCGCAACGTTGCCATTGTTACGAGCGTCGTGGAGATTATGGAGAGCCTGGGCATGCCATGGGTGATCGGCGGCGATTTCCAGAACCCCCCTGGCGTCCTGGCAGAGGTGGAGGCCATCAAGCAGGCGGAGGCCATGCTAGTGGCGCCCACGACGGTGTGCGGGACGTGCCGCGCAGCTGGGGGTAGCTCGACCATCGGCTATTTCGTTGTGTCCAAGGGCTTGCGTGACAAGGTGGTCAAGGTCGTGCTGCAGGAAGGGTGGCCGTCGGCGCCGCACAAGCCGGTCGGCCTCGCCCTGGATTTGAGCGTCCAGGCGAAGCGCACCAGGACCCTGCAGAAGCCGAAGGACCTGGACGATGTCAGCATTGGTTGCGCCCCTGAGCCGCCGAGTTACGACAAGGTGGGGGCTTTCGACTCGGTGGGTACTGCCACCAAGAACTGGAGCCACTTCATGCATAAGCTGGAGCGTGAGGCCTTTGGGGTTCGCGGGATGGCGTGGGATCCACAACGTCAGCAAGCAGGACGGGCGCGTGAACTTTTTTGGCAGATCATGGAGGTCAAGCAGGGTGGTCGTAACCTGCCGAAGCCGACAGGGGCGGCGCTCTGGTGGAGGTGGCTTGCGAGGACTTTGGGCAACCTGAAGGATGCCTACGATCGGTTGCAGTCGAAGACGGTCAACGCTGGCCCCATCACCCAGAGGCTGGTCGATGTTCTTGCACAGGAGAGGCTCTTCAAGCTCAGCGGCACGGCTCGCAACGTGGGGATGGTGGGCCAGGCCGATCGTGTGCTTTGGGCTGCGAGGTGTCAGGTGGTAGCGGAAGCGCTGTGGCGGGGGCGCCGAGAAGCAGCGCATCCTGGAGGCGCTGCTGGAGGAGGCGAGAGCCAAGACAAAGCGTTTCGATCAGGAGCTGACCAACGAGAGGAGGAAAGAGTGGGCAGCCAAGCTGGAGTCGGCGGCGAAGGGTGCGGCAGGTGGCCTTCGCAGGCTTTGCAGGCCAGCTGAGGTCTGGCGACCACGGCGGGCGGCATCTGCTGCACATTCCGCCGACCCTTTGCAGGCTGCTCAGCACGCGCTAGACGAGTGGAACAAAGTGTGGCGAGTGGGAGAAGCAGTGCAGACAGCTCCCAGGCCCTGGGAGTTGGGGGCACGTGTAAAGCTGAACGGTTTCAACGACGGGGGCTTCGATCGGCTAAAGAAGGCCGCTCGCAGTTTCAAGAAGACGACGGCGATAGGGTCAGACAGGTGGCACCCGTCTATGTTGCAGGGCGCCTCGGTCGACGCGCTCTGGACATTGCTCGCCGTCCTGCGGGAGGTAGAGGAGACCCTTGTCTGGCCGTCGCACGCGGCCACGACCATATTTTTTCATTATCCCCAAGAATGAGCTGGTCGACCGTGCTATCGGCCTCCTGCCCGCCCTGGTGAGGGCCTGGGAGATCATGAGGGGGCCGTATTTGCAGGCGTGGGCGAGGGCGAATCACAGGTCGTGGGGCTGCACATCCTGCGGGCGCGCGGCTGAGGACGCGGCGTGGGAGGTTCTTTTGGCTCACGAAGCGGACGCTCCTGGGACACTGATCTTGCAGTCACTGCCACGACCACAGCGATCCTGGACCTGATGAAGGCCTTCGAGAGGGTGAATTTGCACGTCCTGTGGGAGTGGGGCAAGCGCATGGGCTTTCACACAGGTGTCCTGGCAGTGGTCTGCTCCTGTTTTGCCATGGCGCGGCGTGTCAACACGGGGGGCGCGGTGTCGCTCGAGACGAGCACGGTGTGCACCATCATTGCAGACAGCAAGTTCTCGGTGGGTTTCCTTAAGATGGTGATTCAGGATGCGGTCGACGGCTTGGTGGTTGAGCATCCGCTGGCAAAGCGGCGCACGTGCGTCGATGACCTCAGCATCAGGCAGAGAGGTACGCAGCAGGGGGTGGCCGATGTTTTCCCGCTGGCGATCGAGGACAGCTTTGCGAGTTTTGTTGAGCTGGGCTTGGAGTTCTCCGCGGGCGCAAAGGGCAAGGTCGCAGTCATGGCTAGCACCAACTGGCTCAGGGACGCCGTGCAGGGCGATATGGGCCAGAGGGGATTGCCAGTTGTCCGAGCCTGCCCATACCTTGGGGCCGACATGGTTCCCAGTGGCACGGCGCTCAAGGCAAAGAGCGGTAAGCGCTTCGCCAAGATGCGGAGGCGGACGGCCAGGTTACTTCAGCTACGCCGAGGAGGTAAAGGAATGGCAAGAGGCATGGGATTGGTGTATAAGTGTGGGCTGAAGCGGTCGGTGTTGCATGGGTGCAAGTGCTTGAGCATGCCAGATCACCAGCTTCAGCAAGTTCGGCGCGCCGCAGGCAAGCTTCTCCCAGGGTCCAGGGGGGCGAAGAGCCTCACTTTGCAGTTGGCTCTCGCGAAGGAGGAGCCCACGTGCGAGATCACGGCCGCTCCTGTGGTTCGCTGGCCACGCGCTGTGTGGGAGCTCACGGTGGGAGAAGCAGCGGCGAGAGCAGCGCAGTGGGAGGCCCAACAGGGGCAACATGAACGCCCTGACCGGCAATGCACAGGGCCAGAGGCTGGTGTGCAGACCCCCACTCACCCCCACGCCATGGCGCCTTGCTCGCAGGGAGAGGTGCTGTAGGTGATGTCGCTGCTCTGGATGAAGCACTAGGTGTCTGGACGGCGCTGTGGATCACCGACCTTCGAGGGGTGGACTACCAAGGCGTCGGCGATTGGCTTGAGTGGGCGACCGTGCTTGTCGGGGTGAGGTACGAGGGGCCACGCAGGCAGATATCGTAGCTACTTGCAGACGATCGTGGGCGCGGGCACGATGGAGGCGAGCGGCGGCGATCAGGTACACCAATGACCTGGATTACGTGGACCGAGTGGAGGTGCTGAAGAAATACAGGTACGAGCGTGGCGCGGTGCAGCAGGTACTCCGACGGCTGCTCGGTGACGGGCTGCGACGGGTTCCTGACGATGGAGAAAGGCAGCTGGAAGCGGGCAGCGGGTGCCACAACGTCGGCAGCCTCGGCGAGTTGCTGGATCTTGTCGTGCAGGTGGGACGGCAATTGGCCATCTCGGGGGGGCGCGTCAGCGGACGACGGCGGGGCCTCAGCCAGCGTGACGGCCCGCAGGAGCAACTCCAGAGGGCGTGGAAGCAACAGCAAATCGCAGTGGGCATGCAGCCGCAGTGGGGGCGTGCCAAAGGCCCCGCAGGTGCTGTCATCATGTCCATACGCAGAGCTGGCTGGACGTGGCTGAAGTGGCACGTTCTCCTGATGCGCAATGGGGAACAGCTCAACCTATTGGAGACCTGCCCCAACGACGTCGGGATGCTATTGCAGCAAGATCTGGAGGCACAGTTGTGGGCGCAGTGGACAGCAGAGCCCGGGCACGAGAGTTTGGCGCCAGCACCTTTCTTGCAGCCCGCAAGGGCGGTGTTGGGGGCCAGGAACTCCCCGAAGCATGCGAAGAACGCAGCGAGGAAGGTGCTCATAAGCGGCTCCTGGACCATGAGTAAGCTTCGTAAGCGCAGCATCACGCCGACGGACATCTGCGCGGCGTGTGGCGAGGGCGTGGGCACGCCGCATCACAGGTATTTCGTCTGCCCGAAGCTGCGCGACGTGCGGAACTAGGGCCAGGCGGACTGGCAGCACGTGGCGGAGCAGCAGGTCGACAGCTTGCTGTGGGCGGGGGGGCTGGTGAGAGATCCGTCGGTGGACTGGCAGTTTCGCACCGTTACGGAGGAGCAGTACCACTTCGTGGTAAACGAGGGCTCCGAGGCTCACCTCACGGGTGACATCGTCTGCGACGGGTCGAAGATGGGCGGCAGCAAGTGGGCGCAGGCTGGGTGGGCAGCTATGGCGATCAACGGTGAAGGTGCGCCAACTATCCAGCTCTGGGGCCCGCTGCCGTGCCAGTGCAGTGTGCAGACGACGGTGAAGCGTGCGGAGATGTGGGCCTTCCTCAAGGTGTTGGAGGTGGTGATGCCACCATGCAGGATCTACACCGATCACCAGGGGATCGTCGACGGTCTGGCTCGAGGTGCTAATTGGTGCCTCTCCTGGAAGCGGCCGCGTGCGGACTTGTGGCGGAGGATCTGGCACATGGTGGCCGACATTGGTTTGGGCCGCGGCTGCGTGGGGCACGTCGAGGCGCGTCGTTCCAAGGCCGCGATCAACAGGCTCGAGGAGGGCCAGCAGGCCATCGCCAGGGGTAACGCGGCCGTTGACCTCTTGGCGAAGTGCGGAGCCGAGGACGATTGCGGTTGCGGCAGGCAGGAGGTGCTTGATAGGCTCGGGGAGAAGGCCAAGTGGGCCATCCAGAGCGTCGGGTGGTGGCACCAGCAGCTGAACGGAGAGTGGCCTGACGCCCCCCCCCCCCGCGGCCGCCTGGGCCTAGGCGCGGGCGGCAGCAGCAGCCCCACATCCAGCTGACGAGGCGCGAGGTGGAGCAGCGTGGGCGGTGGCAAGTGTGTACTCGGTGTGGGGGGCGCGCGGCCGCGGCACGCATGGGGAAGAAGTTGTGGGAGGCGGAATGCCGCCCACCTCCGTGGCGCATGGTAGACGTAGTGAACGGGGCAGCTGGCGCGGGCTCGCTCGAAGCTCGCGTCGCAGCTGCACGAGGAGTGCAGCAGCGTGCGGCTGCGTCGACGGCTACGGGGGACACGGGAGTTGGGCCTGTGGCGGCTGCCGTCGCCGTGGGGGCTGCCGTGGCGGGTTTGGCTGCAGGAGAGCGAGGTGCAGCTGATGAAGCAGAGCCTGGTGAGCCAGGTGAGTGGTGCATCAGTGGCGAGATCGCGGTCCCCGAGGAGGCAGCCGAGGCTTGCAGAGGCACCACCTGACGTGCCCGACACGCGGAGGCAGCATGTGGTGCAGATATGCGGGCCCTATGTCGTCTGCCGAGAATGCGGGGCGCATGCAGTGCAGCGGAGGGACGGGATGAACAAGGCGTGTCCGCTGCCAAAAAGCGAGGGGTGTGTTCGGGTGCCGACACCAAGCGGAAGCGGCGTGACAGGCTGCTGAGGGGTGAACATCCGCAAACGGGACGTCCACTTCCAGCTGTACTGGAACCAATACAGCGAGGGCGGGGTGGTGGACTACGGCGAGGCGGTGGTATGCGACCTGGAGCGGGGCCCACGTCTGGGAGCACTGGTACCAGTGCGGCGTGGGCTGAGTCGAGGTGCTTCGCACTGCTGTTGCTGCCCCTCATGGCAGGACAATTGTACTGGGGGGAGGGGTGTCAAAAAACATGCCTCTCGGGGGCCTCCTGGGGCCCTCTTGGGGTGGAAGGCGGGAGTTTTCGGTTCGTGGTCCCCCTCTTGGGCCCCTCTTGGGGCCGTCTTGGGGCTCTCTTGGGCCGTCTCGACCGCCTCTTGGACCGTCTCGGGGCCCTCTTGGGGTCCTCTTGGGGCCTTGTTGGAAGCCTCTTGGCCCGTCTTGGGGCGCTCTTGTGGGCCTCTTGGGCCGCTTTGGAGCATCGAAAAGCAGAAAAGGCGACAAGGCCAACATCCTTCCAAAACCATCGTTAAATTTAAGATTTTGGCCTCTCGGGGCCCACTTGTGAGACCTCTTGGAGACCATTTGGAGGCCTCCTGGGCCGTCTTGGGGTCATCTTCGGCGTCTTGGAGCGCTCTTTGGGCGTCTCGGGGGCCTCTTGAGCAGTCTCGGGGGCCTCTTGGGGCCCTCTTGGCGCGTTCTGGGGGCCTGAGAGGCCGCGCCCGGGAGGAAAACCATCTCGGAGTCGGACCGCCCGGGACCTTGCCGGGGCCTTGTCGGGACCTTGCTGGGGTACTTTTTGTCCGGGGACCCCCAGGGGCCGCCCCGCGCGCGCGAACTAGAAATGTTGTTAACCAGTTACCGGAGATCGTAGCACGCCTCTGGCCCGTTGGGGGGCCGGCGAATTCTATGCGCCCATGGCTGACCAGTTCCTCTCGTCCAAGCTGGGCGCCGAGACCGTCCTCGAACACCTCCGTTCTGGCGTCGCGTACGAGTCCTTGCTCTTCTGGCGGTTTGACGAGATGAGCCACTTGCCGCTCCACAACATCGAAACGCATCACGAGGTTGCGGGCGAGCCAGCGATACAATCTCTCCCGTTCGTGGATCAGACATGGGACAGTTACCGTGACTTTGCTCGTCAGTACGCCACCGTGTATCTGGAGGACAACGTCGTGAGCATACCTGGATGGGCCGCGCCGTGCATGCTGTATCCCTTGGCCTCGCGCGATTCTGTCGGCATGTGGGCGGACTCGTTGGTGCTGAATACGGACAGCAAGCTCGTTATCCCTTCCCCCTTTGTCGATATGGGCGTCGTGATTTATCGCGGCCCGCTCGGCTGCACCTTCTGGGGCGGTGATTCATACCAGGCTTGCCAGCTGCTTCACCATTCGTTTGGTGGAGACAGTTGCGAAATCAACGTTCTGGCCCAAGAGGAGTGCAACGATGTGTGCACCGCGGAACAAAATGGGAGCGTCCACAACCATGGCGGTTCCACTTCCGAGAGCTGCTTCCGAAGCTTCTGGAACATTCTCGACGATGCGATCCGGCAAGACCACGGAGAAGATCACGATTTGTTGACTGGGAGTCGCGATTGGAGCACGCAGCCTCCCAGGCAGACCACATGCGCCGCGCGCTGAGCGGCATGGGCACTCCTGAAGGCGCAAGGCCGCACCCCTGAAGGCTCCTGAAGGGTTTGAGCACTTTTGAAGCTGTTGTGCGATACGTCTGGGCGTTCGCAGCTTTAGAGTTTTGCCCGAAGCGCTGCCTACTTAGCCAGTTTCACTTCTGGCCTCTCTATGGCCCAAGGGTCGCCCAAGAGAGCCCACAGACGGCTCCCAGGATCATTAGTATCAGGAGGATCAGGAAACCAAGGATGAGGATCTGGAGGGGCGTGGGAGGCTGGCCTCCACTGGAGTCCGCGACGCCCGAAGAGAGGGAGAGGGGAGGGGGCGGAGAGCGCGAGCCGCTCCCGCGGAGGCCGTGGCCCCGTCGGCCCCCTCGGGCGCGGAGCTGCTGGCTGTCAACTTCCTGGGACGCCGCCGCCGCCACCGCCGCCCCTCGGCTGCGCTGGGCCTCGGGGGGGCCCTGGAGGTTGGCCGCCCCCCTGCCTCGAGGCAGGACCCAGACGGTACAGACGTGTGAGCGGCGCGGGAAAACGGGTTCGTTTTCGCCGACGTTGTCGCGTGAGGTGCCCGCGTAGGGTCGCGCGTGAGCGCCCTCGTTTCCAACGTGTTGTGCCGCGCCAGCGGCCCGCGTAAACGCCGCGTAGGGTCGCTGTGCCATTTCGCGTAAGACCCCTTTGTGATCTTCGCTCATGCGACCGTTTTTTATTCAGTGCTTTGCCGATCGGCGCGGGCCCTCTCACCTCACCCCCCCATGGAGTAGATCTTGGCTGTTTTTGGCGCCTGTCTCAAGCAGGTGGAGTCTCGGGATCGTTTTCTTATTCATTGTTTTGCCGATCGGCGCGGGTCCTCGCACCCCCCCTCTCCCCCCTCATGGAGCAGATCTTGTCTAATTGGGCGCTTGTCTCAAGCAGGTGGCGCCTTCCCCGCAGGACGCGCTGTTGCCAACAGTCGCACGAATCAGAGGTCTGGAACCAGACCCCCGCCTCCCCCGCCCCCCTCCGCCCAATGTCGAAACGCCGAATGAGAAAACGTTCACCATGGTTTCTCGGATTGTGGATCGGCGTCGGGCCCCCCTTTGGGACGCCTCCGGCGCCGAGCCTTGGCGCGCTCCGCCCACTGCGACGACGACGACGACGACGACGACGACGGCCACGGCGACGGCCACGGCTACGGCCACGACGACGACCACGACGACGGCGACGGCGACGGCGACGGCTACAGCGACGATTCCCGTCTTATTGCAACTTGAAGTTAGAGGCAGGGGGGACGGCGACGACGACCACGACCACGATCACGATGACGACGCCGACGACGGCGGCAGCAACGACGACGATGGCGGCGGGGACAACGGCGACGGCCTCGGCGACGGCGACGGCGACGGCTACGGCGACGACGACCACGATCGCGATCACATCTACGACCACAACCACGACCACGGCCACGACCACGACGACGATGACGACCACGACGACATCATTGGCGACGACAGCGACGAGGACGACGACGACGACGTCGACGCCGAGGAGGACGACGACAACGCCAGAGTTGGTCGTTGTCGTCGACGACGACGACGACGACCATTTCTGAACCTCTCCTCGAAGCCAGGACCTCCTGGGCTGCATGGTCGCAGAAAGGAGCACCACATTCGCCCGGGAGTTGCGCCCCAGTCTCGTCGCAGTGCTCTGTTTCGGCCTCTTGCTGGCCTGTTTCGGGCCCCAGAGCCGTCCAAAGATATCGGATCCGCAGGAGCGGTCGGAGTTTTTCCAGGGACTCTCGCATTGAAAAGATCAGTGCGTCGTAGGTCGGAGTCAAAAACAAAAGATTAAAAACTCCAGCCTTCCCGGGCCCCCAGAGATGTCCGCGGGCTGCTACGAGGCGCGGTGACGTCCAGCTACCTCCCGGGACCCAATCACGCCCGCTCCTCCGCAGCCTCTCTCATCCTTGGTTCCACCAGCCGCGCTCCCTCCTCCTTCACCCCTCTCTCTCACTGCCTCCTCTCCATGCGTCTGCTATGCAGGGCGTCCCCAGGGATGGGGGGACTCCTGAACCGCTTGCTCGCAGGAGCCTTGAGACGGGGGTCAATGCAAGCAGGGGTCAGCCAGAGCGCTGGATCTTGCAGGCTCCTGCAGAGCAAGGGTCGCATTGACCCGGGCTTGGGTGCGTGATCCTGCAGGGTCCTTCAGGATCTTGCAGGATCTTGCAAGGCCTGACTGGCCCAGGTCTGGATTGACCTGGGCCAGTCAATCACCGGTGCCTCGGAATCGCTCGGACGCGTGCATTTTCTCCGGGCGAGGACCATCGAGGAGCATCTTGGATTGTCGTGCGAAAAAAAAGCGCACGACGCCGAACAACTGCATGGGCGTCCGAACGATGCCGAGATGCTCGTGCCTGCGTGCGTGCGACGCACCCCGTCCCCGGGAGGAGGAGGAGGAGGAGGAGGAGGAGGAGGAGGAGGAGGAGGAGGAGGAGGAGGAGGAGGAGGAGGAGGAGGACGAGGGGGACGATGAGGAGGAGGAGGAGGAGGAGGAGGAGCTGCAGCCGAGGAGGTGAAGCAGAGGGACCGCGGCGATCGGGCATGCACTGTTAGTGGGGAGAGGACGAGGAGGACCAGAGAAGGAGGAGGAGGAGGAGGAGGAGGAGGAAGAGGAGGCGGAGGAGGAGGAGGAGGAGGATAGGAGTCGCCGGGCTTTTAGTTTGACCAAGCCTCCCCAGGGCTGACCAGGCCTGGGGGGGGTGGGACGGCGGCGTCGGTACGACTCTTGCGTCTTCAGTCCACAGTCCACATCAGGAGGAGGAGGAGACGGAGGAGGAGGAGGAGGAGGAGGAAGAAGAGAAAGAGGAGGAGAAAGAAGAGGAGGAGGAGGAGGAGGAGGTATCAGGAGGAGGATAAGGAGGAGGGGTGGCTCGGCGCTGCGTCTCATCTTGGGGGCGGTATGCGCGTCGCAAGTTAGCCAGGGGAGGAGCGGCGCTGTCCGGCTTCGTCACGGCCTTCGAGATGCTCCCAGGCGCGGACCCCGCGCCGCCCCAAACCTCCGACGGCATGATCTTGCAAATATGCGGGACCCTTGAGCTTTTTTTGCAAGTCGGAATGGTCGAAAGGAGTTCATTGGGTTCCATTGAGTTCTGGTGGACTCCATTGGACTCCCGAGGACCCTGTTGGACGCCACATGACTCCATAAGACTCCAGTGGAGTCCACTGGACCCCATAGGACTCCATAGGACTCTTTGGTCCAATGGACTCCATTGTTTTCACAAGTTGGCCACACAGGACTCCAGTAGACTCCTCTGATTCGACGCGCTCCCTTGGCCCAGTGAACTCCATTTGATTATGTTGCGCTCCAGCTGGCCCCATTGGACTCCAGAGGAGCACGTTCGGCTGCATAGGCTTCCATGGCCTCCAGTGGTGCGTTAGACTCCGGGGAGACCCATGTAATCCAGCGGACTCCATTGGACTCCACAGTGCCCCTCCACTAGTTCCATGGACTCCGTTGGACTTCATTCAACTCAGTTGGACTCCAGTCGGCCCCATTCAACTCCATTGGACAGGTGCTCC